ACGGGTGTCAATCTTCTGTGCCTCCATGTTCCTGATGTTGAGGACACGTGTTGACTATTGACTGACTCTCTGTAGTGTCCCATCAACTACCCACAACCCTTGATCTTCGTACAGCGTGGGGACGTGGCATGAGAAAATGAAAAAGCTTTGCCCTTTCTTGTTTTGTGTAGCCGTTTTCCCTTCTCTGGAGATCATGCCCATTTAATACGCCTTCTTCATGCTTCGTGCACAATGATGAAGGGCTAGCTTCTCTTATTTAAGGAGAGTTTGCACCTATTCTTTCCACTTTTGCAAACTTAACCAAATCCAGAGATTCCTTTGCCGAAGTTTAATTAGAAGAGCCAGCGTTTGTCCGAGAAAGCCATTAATTCATTAGAGTTCGTCGGAGAAGGAAGCCACCAACCCCATTCTCTATACCAAGGTCTTCTGTTTTTCAGTGAGTATTTATTTTCTTCCTTCCTTTTCTTTTTCCTGATTACCATACCCTCTCATTCTCTTCATTTCAACTGTCAGTGTCGTGTTTAGTCTTCCTCCCTCTCTATTGTGCCCTCAGTAGTGACCTTTAGGTTTTCCAATCCCAAAAAAATGCCCCCTTCATGTTCCCTTCTTTGTCCTGAATCATGCTGAGACGTAGTCAAAGCCAGAACATCAGGACCGACGAGGCTGAGACCTCAAGGCTTAGGAAGTACACTATCAAAGGTCGACAACAAATAGTTAACTTTAAGGCCCACTATTCCATTCCCATCAGGATGGCTGTGAATGAGTTTGTCCCCGGACCCCATAGCGTCGATGCTCACTGAAGCGACCATGCCCTTCTATACTAAGGCATCATGGAAGGTGGCATTAAGTTCCCCCTCCATCCACTCCTCCTCTGTTTTTTATCACAATTTCATCTTTTCCCGGGGCAGTGTTGTCTCAACACCTTTAGGATTATTATGGGGGTGGTGGCCCTGAATGAACGTCTTCGAGTCAACCTGGATTTAGAGGACATCCTCTTCTGTTACGCCTTATTGAGGATGATGCTTCAGCAAAATTTTTACCTCAAAGTTCGAGATCCATCCATGTACCTTATGACACATCTCCCTGACTCAGACAAGGGATACAAGGACAATTTGTTGGTCTTTGACAATCAGTGGGAGAGAGGAGCTGGCCTCGAGTACGACAGTTTATGGTGCCCCAAGCAGTGGCGAACAACAAGTACTTTGGCTTCTCTTTCTCTTCTTCAGCTTTCATTACTTCGGTTTGCCTTTGTCTTTGTTCTAATTGTAACTTATTGTTTCTTTTTACAGGAGTTTCTGACACCGAAGCTTCTCCCTTTCCTCGAAATCTTGTCAACCTTGTCGACATCATCACTGTCTAGGGGTAACTAGGTAATGAGTTTGCCCACGCCACCCACATTCTACTAGACTACAAGCCAGGATACAAGAAGTTATCCCAAACTCCTCAGCCATTTGATCCTCGTAGGTGGGCATCATTGAATGACGAAAACTTGGAAGAAGACCCCGACAAAGCCACTAAAGCTAAGGTAGAGGCTACTGAGGACACAGTTGCCGAGGTAGAGGCTACTAAAGAAACGACTGACGAGGTTGTAGAGATCAGGGATCCCTCCACCACCATCCACGTCGAGGCTAGTACTTTAAGTAGGGAAGCTTGGCCAAAATTTGACATTCTTCAAAACTTAGACGAAGAGACGCCTTCGAAGTCGCCATGTCAAACCAATCTCGCATCAACCTCGACATGCTAAGGGAAAGATCTGTTATTGCTGCTGCACAGGGCCGAGGAACGGCCCCCAACATTTCTCTAAACAAATGGCGTACTCCCTTTGCTCTTCCTCCTCCACCTACAGCATATGCCCATATCTTGTCGACACCAACCGAGCGGGGCTGAGGCATGATAGGGATCCTCAACACGAGGAGAAGAAAGTCAAGCAACGTCATGATGGTGTCGACTGGGGCAGGGGCACCCCCACTCCGCCTACAACATTGACACCTACTCCAACAACAACAACGCAACCTACAACATCAACACCGATGCCTCCTCCACCACTGGCGCCAATTACTCCATAATGGCGTGGAAGGGCCTGAGATCGGGATGACAGACCGATCCGGGTCAATGACTCCCTCATTGCCTCACCCTACATTATTTATGTTGTGAGTGAGACTATTTTTTTCGATGCTGACATGGTCATGCATCGGGGGCATCTGAGTAACCAACTCTTCCACTCCATCATCCAGAACTTGTTGGTGGTAAGTTTTTACAATTGCAATTTTTCCCTTTTTGGTTGCAGCCTTTCATCAACATAACTTATTTCTTTCTTGGCTTAATAGGTTGCCTAACAGATCTTGGTCATTGTCGAGCGCTTCCATGCCAACTAGAAGAGGATCTAGGAGGGCGAGAGGCTCTAGGTTGAGCTGGAAGCAGCCCGAGGGGCTTTGGCCTCGACAAAGGAGGATGTGGCTGCTCAGGATAGAACTTTGTTCTCCCAAGTGGCCCAAATTGCTGAGCTCCTCAAGTAAAGTAAAACTGCGAAGGGGAATGCTGAAAACGTTAAGTCTTCCCCTGCCGAAGTCGAGAAGAGGACCACTTAGGCAACAAAGCAGCTGTTGTCAGCGGAGGCGAAGGTGCAGGAGTCAAAACAGACTTGTGCAGCTTTGACCCAAGAGTTGGACAAGTTAAGGTTTGAGTAAGAAACTAATCGGAAGGCGCAACATGAGATCGTCAACCATTGTGTCGATGACATCCTAGTGGCCCTAAAGGAAAACAAGAAGGAATACTTTAAGGTTGGCTGGAATGAGGCACTTCAGGCTACGGGGGTCTTTGTTGACTCTGCTCTCTTCAAGGAGCACGAGTACATTCCTTCCGAGAAAATACTGTAAGCCTCTGCTGAAGCTAAAGTTAAAGATGTTGTAAATCCTCGAGTGTCAAGCTCGGCGCCAGCTGTAGAGACAATGGCCTTGGCTCCTGTCAACGTCGTTCATCTCTAGACTCTTCTTCCTGCTCTTGTCCTTGCTTCTTAGGTTGATGCTTCTACTGGACCTCCCGACGTAGTGAACGATTTTCACAGTGTCGACTCCTTCTCTGGCAGCATCGATGAGCTATTTGGAGACATCAAAGGAGACATTGACGACGAGGTCACAGGGCCTCCAACAACTTAGTCTTTTTCTTTTCTTATACTTTTGTTTTTATTTTTGTAGCTTGAGGGATGCAATACCCTCTTTTTCTTTAATGAACGAGCCTCCTTTGTTTTCCAAGCGTTGTTCCTTGGAACCGAGGTTGTAAAATTGTAGCCGGGACCTCCCTATTGATTTATCCTAATTAATGCATAATTTAATTAAGTTAATAGGTCAATTGTGTTAGTTAAACTAGTCAAAGTACGTTAAATTAGGGATAATGCATTAATTGTTATTTTTTTCAGGGTTTTGTGTGTCAATGCTATAAACTACAGGGGAGCCAACTGTATTAAAACTACAACCTACAGGTGTGCCAACAGTCAAAGTGACAAACTATTGAGGTGCTAACTGTCAAAGCTATAAACTACTAGGGAGCCAATTGCATCAAAACCACAAACTATTGAGATGTCAACTGTCAAAGCTACAAACTACTGAGATGCCAACTGTCAAAACTACAAACTATAGGCGTGCCAACTATCAAAACAAAGGGGGATCAAAGTATAATTCAAACCTCCCTTTTTGCCTATAAATACCACCCCTTGGACTTGTAAAAAAATCATCTTTTGATAGTGAAAAACTCTCCAAAAGTAATTATTACTTTCTTTTATTGTATTATTTTTTTATTTTAATTTATTACTTTCTCTTTCTTTAATTATTGCTTTCTTTTACTTCCATTGTTTGAGCTTCCTTCTTCCCTTAGAGGAGTGAAACTCTTCCACTTTTCTAGAGATTTACTAAAGCCGTGAAGAGTGGAACGTGATTCACTCATTCTTTATCAAAGATCGGCTCCTTGTGTAATGTGTTTTACCCTGTAACTCCTTTACTTGGAAGGATGAGCATCACCCACTTTTCTAGCTTTACCAAAACCATAAAGAGTGACTAGTTTCTCATTCACTCTTTAGTAAGAGGTGATGGACATGTATAAATCATCCGGAAGTTATATTTGTTCATTTCGTTTATGCTTAATGCTTTATATTTCTCTTGTTTATTGAATGATTGAATACATCTAGCAAAACTAAGGTTCTTTGTATAACCGTGAGTACTTTCTATGACATAGATGACTCTTGCACAGAAAGACTCATTGGTTCAAGGCAACTACCCCGACTAGATCTTCATGAATAACCTTCAATCTTTACCATTATTGTGCTTCATTTAAAGAATGAAAAACTAATGCAATGGTCGGATGCTTTGTAGAAACACTTGCTTGTTTGTAGACGGGTTCAGTCTCGGCACAGACAATTCTTGTAAACTTCTACAACGACATCGAAACCATGTTATTAATTCTCACAGTTCATTTTTATCTTTCGATTAACTTCATGTTGACACAATGGTTAATTGTGTTCCCAAGCACAAGTATAATAAACTTGATGGTTGACTACATGTCCAAATCATCGAACTAAAGGGTGACTTTTTACATTTGAAATTATCTTTTGTCTAGAAAATCCTCTTGGAAAGAATTGTATATTTAGCCTAGGAAAAATCCGTAAAGATCATTACTTTAAATCTCGAGGGTTACAGTCACTTTAAATCCGTAAAGATTTTACACTTTGTTTTTACAAAAATCACCTTCATGATGATATACCTCCTTCCTTGAGGAGACAACCTTGGAATACGATTCCAAGTAAAACACGACAAGCAAAAGTCTCTCTGCACTTGGGGAGCATTTTTGTTCAGACACAAACACACACATTTCATTCACCCACCATTATGTTGCTCTTTCTTTTGACATCATTCCAAGGGAGAGTGACACTCCCCTCCACACATAGACTATACGCATTGAGGGATGATGTTCAGAGGTTAGGATATATTACAACAGAAACAACCAAGCACTTACCCCTCAGGGGAAATGTCCTTCCTTGGCTTCACCTTCTTTCGGGGGGGAAATTTTCTAAGTGTTTTCCCTTTGGGCCGAGATGACGTATTTGAAATAGACCTCGAGGCAGTATCGACGTCGGGGACACGTGTCGCTCGGAGGGACTTTGCAAAAGCCTTTATGCCAAGGACATGTGTTACTCTCATATGACACCAAGGTCGATGGACTTGAGGTTAGGATCCTCCTTCCTTCGACTTCATCTTTCTTGTGGAAATTTTGTTGTGTTTTCCCTCAAGAGATTTGCCTCATCTTGGAGACTCTACCCTTGGGTCCTTTTGGGCAAGTTTGCCTCTTATTTTTTCTAAGGCCTTGACCTCGGGGCCATACCCCATCCAAAAGGCCATGCTCCTTTTGTCTCTTTGGAGGCAAGAGCCCCAAGACTCTGCCTCCGAGGTCATTCCCCTTCTAGGAGGTCATACTCTTATTTTTCTTTGGAGGCAAGGGTCTTAAGACTTCGCCTCTGGGGCCATGCCCCATCCAAGAGGCTATGGTTCTATATCTTTCTAGAGGCGAGAGTCCTAAGACTCTGTCTCCGGGCCATGCACCTTCTAGGAGGCCATGCTTCTATTTTTCTTTGGAGGCAAGGGTCCTAAGACTATGACTCTGGGGTCATGCTCTTGTATTTCTTTGGAGGTAAGTCTTAGGACTCCACCTTCGAGGTCATGCCCCTTCCGAGACAATACACTTAACACAAAAAAAAAGTCTTTATTTCCTCAAAAATAATACTTCTTCAAATTCATTACATTTCAAAGTCAATTTACAGCATTTCATTCCATGCCTTCTAACTTGTATGACCCGGATCCTCCTACTGATGTGACTCTGTACGATCCTTCCCAATTAGGTCTCATCTTTCCATCGGCCAGGTCCTGGATGTTTTTGACTATTTTTCTAAGTACCAAGTCGCCTACTTGGAATCCTTGAGGCTTGACTCTTTTGTTGTAGAGTCTAGATACCCCTTCTTGATACTTCGCTAATCTCAAGGCAGCCATCTCCATTTTTTCCTCCGCCAAGTTTATGTCCCGGCTTAGTAGATGATCATTGTCTCCAGTGTCAAAGGCATGTGTCCTTATGGTAGGGAGACCTATTTCAAGTGGAATTACTGCCTCCACTACGTATGCAAAAGCGTAAGGTGTTTCGCCCGTTGAGGTCCATGAAGTCATCCTGTAAGCCCAAAAAACGTTGAGGAGCTCATCCACCCATTTTTCCCTTAGCTTTCACCAACCTCTTCTTGATTCTGTTGACGATGGTCATATCTGAATATTCTACTTGCCCATTGGCCTGAGGATACGAGGGTGTTGAGTAGTAGTTTCAGATTCTAAGATGTTCACAAAAGGAACTGAAGGATCTGCTATTAAACTAGGTCCCATTGTCTAACACAAGTGCACGGGGAACTCCAAATCTTGTCACTATGTTCCTCCACACAAACTTCTTGGTGTCCATGTCTCTAATATGAGTTAATGGCTCCACCTCGACCCGCTTAGTAATATAATCAGTCCCTACTATCAGGAACTTCTTGTTTATAGGAGCTTTGGGAGAGGTCCAACCAAGTCAAGCCCCTATTGGGCAAATGGCCCTAGATTGGATAAGTGGATGCAGGTCTCCCACTGGCTGCCTGATGGTAGGAACGAACCTTTGACATTGATCGCACTTCCAGACATAAGCTTGCACATCCCTTTGCATCCGCGCTCGCCAATATTCCTGTGACATGATGTGGTGGGCCATTGACTGTCCACCCGAGTGCCCCCATATATTTCCTCGTGCAGGTTTCACTTTATCCTCGTAGACACAAAGTAGATAAGGTTCGAAGAATGACTTCTAGTATAACTTCTAATCTAGGGAGGCCTAGAACCTTGGAGCCCTTAGCTTAACCTTTTTGACTTCCTTAGGGCATTCAGGGAGTTCCATGAAGATAAGGAACTTGAGTATATGATCAATCCAGCTATGGGGCTCTTCCCCCTCCTGGATGGCTACTACTCCGGGAACATCGTCTATGCTTAGAGTTGGGAAGGAACTCCATAGCAATGTTATCAGAACTGGACCGGTCATCAAACCGAATAGGGGACTGGATCAATGATTCAGTGGTTCAACTAGTGGGTCAATTGGTCAGACCGGTCATATAATAAAAAAAATATATATATATATATATAATAATTATAAAACATAATAATTTAGATAAAAAAATATAAAATATGTTTAAAATACAATAGTAGTAGAGTAACATCAATAATAGAGCATTTCAATTGCCCAATAAAACTAAGCAAGTCTTAAAAAAAAGGGTAAATTACACACAGACCCCTTCAGATTTGTCACTTAATCAGACAGATCCCCTCCAATAGAAGAAATTACACACACACCCTTTCAATTTTGTGCGCGAGTATCACTTAAACCCATTGTCGTTTGTATCCATTAGAGGCCGTTAAAAAATACATTATGCCAACATATTATATATTCATTATCTCCAAACTACCCTTTTCTTTGTTGGGATCCATACTGTCAAATGGAGGATATCAATTTCCTTGAAATGGTGCCACCCCAAATGCGATTTTTATTGTCTTGGTAAGCATGCTAAGAAATTTTTTTTTTTTTTTTAAGGAACCTCGACGGTACGAGAAAATTTATTAGTTTTCAAAAGAAATTACACCTAGCTAGGGGAACGTATGTACCTTACTTTAATATGCATCTAATACATTATGAGTAAAATAAATAAAATCTAAAAGAATGCATGCAATTACATCATAATGCATTTTAAAATAAAGAAAGGAAATTAATTAAATTCTTAAGACTCCTAAATAGCTTGAAATTCTGAAATCAGGTGAGTGATAAAATCCCCAAGTTAAAAAGTTTCCTCAAATCATCAAAGTCTTATTGCCTGAGAATTCAAAAGAGTCTAGTTAATAATGATAACTACACTCCTTCTCTAACTCTTAAAGTCCAGTTGATAAGAAAAACAGACTGCTGGATAAGACTAGCTGAATGTTACTGTGTTGATAAACGCTGAAGCTGGTATCTTGTTTCCAGAATTTGAGAAAAGTCCATTTAATAGAGGAGAGGCAATAGAGATAAACAAAAATCCAGCTGATATGATCCACTTAACCAACGAGATTATCCCTAAATTTAAAAATAAACCAGCTGACTTTGGAGACTTGTGAAGATTAAAACCAGCTCAAGCACCAGCTATCTTTCAGCTGTATGGAACAGTAACGTGAATAGTGATGATATTCCCCAATTAAAATAGAAGTCCTGTTGAGTAAGAAAGAGAATCTTGAAAGACTCCTGCCTAGAGAATTTAGCTGAAGGAGAACAAAAATCAGCAGACATGAACAGTCACGTGAACAGAGCCAGAAACGTGCTGATAACCTCCAAATCTGTTGCTTAACATCTAAATCTCCAAAAATTACAAGAATCAAAAAACAGTAACTGTTTCAACAAAAAACAGCAACTGTTTCAACAAAAAACAGAAAACTGCTACAGTATAAAACAGAATTACGTTACCAAATATCATACAAACATCTAAAAAACCTCCTTTTTCTTTTCCCCTGAACATGCACTGCAAATATATTTATAACCAATATGAAAGGATACACTAATTATAAACTTGCATATATTGGCAATATTTTGAGAAATGCATCATTCAACATAACTTTATAATTAGTACATGACATAAAACTCTACCCCAGCATGTTAACGGTGGTATTCAAAACCCTGCAATACTAAGTTTTACATGCCAAAAAACTGTGTTGCAGCCCAAGAAAATTCACAAAAGAATACCATCCAACTATAACCCTTCACAACCAACAAAATAAAACGTGTACTACAAAGCTCATAAGCTACTGCCCAACAAAAGATACTACTATTGCCCGACAAAAGACACCACGTGAACAAAAGATTACCCATTCTAAAACATGGCATATTTAGACTCCACATTGCCACTAGAAGGGGTAGTTTCATTTTTCTTGCTACTATCTCCATGCTTCAAATCCTTGCTACCACTCATTGAAAACCCATCCTTCTTGCTCATCATAGCCTCTGCACCTTTCATTCCACTCTTGCCAAGGAGCTGAGATGCCCTTCTTGAACCAAACATTTGTGATAGATTTTCACTAACAGATGTCACCTGAGATGCATTTAGGAAAAGGGAAATTTAATTATTTATCAATAAATATAGCTTAAAGTATTTAAGTAATTAACTGGGAGGAAAAGGGTTGCTTGTAAAAAGTTTAACTGGTGTTACCTGAGATGCATTATTGCAATGAGCATCAGTTGCAGGTTGAGAAGACTGAGAAGAAACCTGATAACCTCCTCCTTGCCCATTATTTGCACCATCCGTAGCAACTTGAGGTGCTCTTCCCTACAACAACAAATTTGGCAACCAGAAACAAAAAAATGTCAGTGGCCTTCAACAGAAAAACATTTTACTACAACCTTTCAGCACACCAGGTTGCAACTTTTTTGAACAAATTGTAATGTTTAGCCACATAATTACTCAGTAAAACTCTTGATCAATAAGTACTACAACATCAGACAAATAAACATATCATTTCATCACCATTATTAGAACCATTAGTTGCACCAACACCACTGCCTTGACCAACATTATTGTCTGACCCCACATACAACAGAATATTTGTGGTGTATTACAACAAATACTAAAAGAACGAACTTAAAAGTAAAATAAAGAAAATGTGTATTTAATTACCATTGTATTTCTTTTTTGCTTCCTCACTCAAATTGGACCCCTCTGACAAGTCCTCTTATTATGGCCATACTCCTTGCAATTTGCACACCTAACAGTGCATGATCTCTTTGAATGAGTTGATGGGGTTGGTTCATCCACTTCTCTTCTTCTATTTTTCTTTGGCCTTCCCGGGAGCCGTCTTATTGGTGGAGGAAGAAGAGTAGACGGAATGATCCCATTAACTGGGGGCCATAAATTTACATCCGGAATTGGGTAAATCATTTCACCATAAGCCTTGAGGTAGGAATCCTTGGAGTAAAAAGCATGGAAAAAATCCTCAATATTTAGCCTCCTATAAGCAATGCCTACAGCAGCATGCTTACAGGGTATGCCACTAATATCCCATACCTTACATTCACATGTCTTCTTCCCAAGATCAAC